AAACTACACATGGCCCTAACTGGTTTGGCTCAGTGGACAGAGCGTCGGCCTGCAGACTGAAAGGTCCCGGGTTCAATTTCAGTCAAGGGCATGGACCTTGGTTGCGGGCACATCCCCAGTAGGAAGTGTGCAGGAGGCAGCTGATGGATGTTTCTCTCTCATCGATGTTTCTCGCTCTCTCTCCCTCTCCCTTTCTCTCTGTAAAAAAATCAATAATATATATATATTTTATAAAAATAAAAAATAAAAACTACACATGATCCCAAGCCTCAAAGAGGTTTCAAATGAAATAAAACTCAAACATTTCCAACAGTAAAAACACCATAACCTGTTCCCCTCAGTTTCATGCCTCAGGGAACAGCCCTCGCCGAGCAGGTGTGGTCCTACTGTGTGAGCCATGAGCCACTGAGATGCCTGTGTGCGCGCACGTGTGTGTTCGTGCGTGCACGTGTGTGCATGCGTGTATGTGTGCGTGCGCACATGTGCGTGTGCACACGTGTATGTGTGCGTGCGTGCATGTGTGTGTGTCCCCGCCCCCGCGCTCACGCACTCGTTGAGCTTGTAGATCTTCTCGGAGAAGAACACCTCGTCCAGCAGCTTGTGGATGTTGCGCCGCTCGGCGGCCAGCAGGACGCCGTCGTTGGCCAGGATCCCCAGGCAGGTGCCGGCGTGGCCGATGGCCTCCATGGCGTACTCCACCTGGTACAGGCGACCTGCGGGAGCGAGCGGTGAGACGCCGGACACCGGCGAACCCGAGAGTCCCGCCTCCACGCTCCGTGTGGCGTGGACTCGCCCGGCGACCACGGTCACGAGAGCGCACAGAGGATGAGCACCGATACAAAGGTGTCTAGCCGAGACCGGTGTGGCTCAGTGGATAGAGCGTCAGCCTGCGGACTGAAGGGTCCCGGGTTCGGGTTCGGTTCCGGTCAAGGGCATGTACCTTGGTTGCGGACACATCCCCGGTAAGAGGTGTGCAAGAGGCAGCTGATCGATGACTCTCTCTCATCGATGTTTCTAGCTCTCTATCTCTCTCCCTTCCTCTCTGTACAAAATCAATAAAACATATTTTTTTAAAAATAATAAAAATAAAGGTTGTTCTTCATTGTTATGTTTTCATTCATTTATTAAAAAAAAAAAAAAAAAAAAAAAAAAAGGTGTCTAGCCGATACCAGTGTGGCTCAGTGGATAGAGCATCGGCCTGCGGACTCAGGTTTGATTCCCGTCAAGGGCATGGACCTTGGTTGCGGGCACATCCCCGGTAGGGGGCGTGCAGGAGGCAAGCTGGTCGATGTTTCTCTCTCATCGATGTTTCTAACTCTCTATCCCTCTCCCTTCCTCTCTGTAAAAAATCAATAAAATATATTTAAATAAAAAATAAAAATAAAAGTGTCTAAATTCCCCCCCGCCGCTGCCTCCCAAAAAGCCAAACCCTGGACACGTTTTGAGACGACGGACAGGATCAGCCTTACCTTCCGGGGAGAAGATCGTGGTCCGGGAGTCATATCTCCGAGACTGCAAAGGAAGCACGTGGTGAGTCCCGGCTGGGAGGGCAGCCCTGACAAGCCCACAGCGCCGTGCACCAGTCCTCCCCTCCCCGTCCTCACCCACCGCCCGCGCCCGAGCTGCGTGCCAGCGCCACGCCGTGTCTGGCGAGAGCTTCCGGGCAGGTGTACGACTTACCATGTTTCCTGAACGTTACAGGTCCTGCGAAGAGAAAACAGGTCCTTAGTAAAACAAAACTCACAGTTTAGAAAGAGCATGTCCATGACTTTAAAAAATGTTATTTTTGGCCCTGACCAGTGTGGCTCAGTGGATAGAGCGTCAGCCTGCGGACTGAAGGGTCCCGATTCTGGTCAAGGCCGCATGCCCAGGTTGTGGGCTCCATCCCCAGTGGGGAACGTGCAGGAGGCAGCTGATCCATGATTCTCTCTCATCATTGGCGTTTCTTTCACTCCCTCTCCCTTCCTCTCTGAAGACAGTAAAGAAATACATATATATATATATATATACACACACACACACACACACACACACACACACATATATATATTTTATTGCATTTTTACAGAGAGGAAGAGAGAGGATAGAGTTAGAAACACAGATCAGCTGCCTCCTGCACACCCCCCACTGGGGATGTGCCTGCAACCAAGGTACATGCCCTTGACTGGAACTGAACCTGGGACCCTTCAGTCCCCAGGCCGACGCTCTATCCACTGAGCCACACCAGTTTCGGCAAGAAATATATATTTTTAAAAAATATTTTGTCCACTCCATTCATTTGGCTTATTTTTTTTAAAATCATGATCAAGTCCAATGTCTCTTTTATTTTGCTGTTGATCCTCACCAGAGGATATTTTTCCCATTGATTTTCCTTTTTTCTTTTTTTTTTCTTTTTTTAGAGAGAGTAGAAGGGACATGGATGGAGGGAGGGAGGGAGGGAGAGAAAGAGGGAAAGAGGGAGAGAGGGAGAGATGTGAGAGACACACATTGACACATTGATGGGTTGCCTCCGGCAGGTGCCCTGACCAGGGCTGGGACCAATCCCACAGCTGAGGTCCATGCCCTTCACCAGAATCGAACCCGGGACGACACTGTCCACTGAACCACACCGGCCAGACCTCACCTGGCTGACTTCATGTGGCGGCTACCCGGGAGGGGTCAGACCGTCCCTGTCCACAGGTCAGGGGACACACAGCTCAACGTGGGGAAAGTACTTTTCCAGGAAAAAACACAACACAGACAACGAGCCCACGTGAGGCATGACAGAGGCAGCAAAAAGGCAGCGAACCCGCGGGTCTAAGAGGAGGAACCGGGCGGGGAAGAAGAGGGGGGGGTGTCAGGCCCCGGCCGGTGTGGCTCAGTGGTTGGCGCGCCGTCCCCCACGCACACCGAGGGGCGGCGGGTCCCGCCTCCGGGTCCTGGGCCCCCGGACCGACGCTTCTCTCCCACATCCATGCGTTTCTCTTTCCCTTTCGGTTTCCCTCTCTCCGCCCCTTCGTCTCTCCTAAGTCAGTTTTTAAAAAATTAAAGTAAAATAAAGAGGGTCCGGCTGGGGTCATCCCGGTGACCATGATCCCTTCGGAGCACAAAGGGAATGAGCCGTGATTTTTTTTAAAAATAGCATCTGGACTTTTTACCTCGCCCCGAGGGAGGGAGGGAGGGCGGCAAGCTCGGCGTCCCCGCTAACGGGTCCGGCCGCAGCCTCTCCGGGGCTCCGCGTGACTCGGGGCGGAAGCTGGACCTCGGACCCCGCCGCCCGTCTCCACAAACCGGACACCGGGCGCGGGGTCTGCAGGGCCCGCCGCCCCGGGAGGAAGCGGGAACCTGCTCTCCCAGGCGCAGGGGCTCCGCCGGGCCCCGCTGACACGTGAGGGTGACCGCGCCCCCGGGTCGCGGCCCGGCGCGGCTCTTCCCGGGCCGGAAGCCGCGCTCCCCGGAGCCGCCCACCTCGCCCCAGCCCCGGCCCGCGAGCCCGCGCGGCGCCGGCCTACGGCGGCCGCTAGGGGCCATCCCGTCGCCCAGGAGCGCCGCACAGTCATCGCGCGGCGGCCCTGGGCCGGACCCGCTCTGCCGCGGCGCCCACGACCCTCGCCCGCCCGCCCGCGGGGACAACGGCCGAGCTTCCGCGGGGCAGGGAGACACGGACTCACCGGGGGAAAGGCACTGGAGTGGAGGTCTACACGGAGGGTTTCACCCGCGGGAGAGAAGCACCGGCGTTGGCCCGGGGTCCGCTGCCAAGATGGCCTCCGCGCGTGCGCAGAGCCGCCGAGGGCGGGGCCGAGGATGCGGAAGCCCTTCAGGGGCGGGGCCGAGGGCCCAGAAGTCCTTTAGGGGCGGGGTTAGAACGCGGAAGTTCTCCAGGGGCGGAGCCGAAGGTGCAAAAGGCCTTCAAGGGCGGGCCTAGAATATGAAAGTCCTCTAGGGGCGGGCCGAGGGCGCGGAAGTACTTCAGGGGCGGGCCTAGAACATGGAAGTCCTTCGGGGGCGGGGCTTAGAGTGCGGAAGTCCTCCATGGGCGGTCCTAGAACGCGGAATCCTTCGTGGGCGGGGCTTATAGCGCGGAAGTCCTCCAGGGGCGGGGCCTATAAACGCGTGAGTTCTTCGTGGGCGGGGCCTATAACACGGAAGTCCTTCAGGGGCGAGCCTAGGACGGGGAAGTCCTCCAAGGGCGGGGCTTAGAACGCGGAAGTCCTCCGTGGGCGGGGCTAAGGACAGGAAAGACCTTCGGGGGCGGGGCCAACAACAAGGAAGTCCTCCAGCACAGGGGCTGCAGCGTTGGCGAGCAGAGAGATGGGGTGCTGCGGCCCTGCGGGGTCCTCATCCTGAGGAGGGGGCGACATCGGGTGGGGGAGCGCCCGCAAACTGCAGCGAAGGAGAACGTGGGGTCAACAGCTACTCCTGCTCTGCACCTTCTTGCTGTGCTCGCTTGCCCTTCAGCACTGCCGACTGGGACAGCACCCGAGGGACCCCCCCCCCCCCAAACCTCGCTCCCTGATCCTTTGTTCCCGCGACTCTCCCCCCACCACCACCTTCCACCTCGTCCATCAGATGGAGTCCCCGCGCGCACCATTTCTCTTCTGCCCTGAAACTCAGTCTTCAGATGTGTTCACTATCCACCTCTCCCTTCTGGGTTTCATCCCTATGCAAACTATTTACTATTCACGTTTTAAGTTTTTTGGGTTTTTTTTTTGGGGGGGGGGGAGCACGCAGGGTAGGCTAGAAGGCTGACCAGCTCTGGAAGAGACATTGAGAGACTATCTGATTTGAAATATCATTCTGTGTGTTTCATGGAAAACCTGACTGTTCATGTCCTGTTTCTTAGTTTAAAATATCATCATGAGATAGAAGACCTCGGTGGCTTCACATGCATGGATCCGTTCCATCCATTCATTTTTAAAATATTTTATTGTGTTTGTTTTTTTACAGAGAGGGATAGAGAATTAGAAACATCGATGAGAGAGAAACATCCATCAGCTGCCTCCTGCACCCCCCCCCACACACACACTGGGGACGTGCCCGCAACCAAGGTCCATGCCCTTGACCGGAATCGAACCCGGGACCCTTCAGTCCACAGACTGGCGCTCTATCCACTGAGCCACACCGGCCAGGGCCCATCCCCTCATTGTTAACTGTGCAGGAACATCCCTCGCCCACTGAGCTTTGGTCCCACCGGGTTTAACTCCCCTCGTTTTTGCGAGCTTCCGCCCGGGTCACACGGAGTCCCCGGATCCGTAGGACCTGGCGGTGCGGAACCAGGTCTCCTCGACGGCCGCCCGGCCCAGGGCGAGCATGCGCTGCAGGTGCCTCCACCCGGTTTTCGCCGTGATCATGAGGTACTCGGCGTTCTCGGGGTGCAGCCGGCAGGAGTGCGCGGCCATGACCAGCGACTGGCAGAAGCGCCCGCACACGAGCAGGAACAGGGCGCCCCGCTCGGCCGGCGTCAGCGGGACGACGCTCTCGAACCCCGCCAGCACGTGGCCACCCACCCCGACGGGGTCCCGGCTCTCGATCATCATGTACATGATGGCGATCGCCACCTCGAACACGTAGCAGCCGTAGCTCATGTCCTCGAAGTCCAAGATCCCGGACACGCGGAAGGCGGGGTCCCCGGAGGCCGGCTCGCAGGGCTCCACCAAAATGTTATGGTCGTTGAGGTCCCCGTGATTGATACCTGCGAGGAGAACAAAAAGCAAGTGAGGCCGAAACCGGTGTGGCTCAGTGGGTAGAGCATCGGTCTGCGGACTGAAAGGTCCCGGGTTCGATTCCGGTCAAGGGCATGGACCTTGGTTGCGGGCACATCCCCGGTGGGAGGTGTGCAGGAGGCAGCTGATCGATGACTCTCTCTCATCGATGTTTCTAGCTCTTTACCCCTCTCTCTTTCTGTGAAAAATCAATAAAATATATTAAAAAAAATAAAAAAAATAAAAAAGCAAGAGAGGCGACAACCATCGTTCAATACCCCGGTTCAGCCCTAACCCATGTGGCTCAGTGGATAGAGCGTCAGCCTGCGGACTGAAGGGTCCCGGGTTCGATTCCGGTCAAGGGCATGGACCTTGGTTGCAGGCACATCCCCAGTGGGGGGTGTGCAGGAGGCAGCTGATCGATGACTCACTCTCATCGATGTTTCTAACCTTCTATCTCTCTCCCTCTCTGTAAAAAATCAATAAAATATATTTTTTAAAATAAAAAAATACACATACCTCTGACTATAAGCGGCAAAGGGTCCCAAGGTGTGCCAGCTGTGTTCTTTATTTTTTGTTAATATTTTTTTATTGGTTTCAGAGAGGAAGGAAGAGGGAGAGAAAGAGAGAGAAACATCCATGATGAGAGAGAATCATGGATCAGCTGCCTCCTGCACACCGCCCCCCAATAGGGATGGAGCCCACAATCAGGGCATGTGCCCTTGACCGGAATTGAACCCAGGACCCTTCAGTCTGCAGGCTGACGTTCTACCCATTGAGCCACACCAGCTAGGGCACCGGCTGTGTTCTTTATTTTAACCTCGGATTTCCAAGAAATCTGTTCTGACAACTATTCGGTAAAGCTATGCTGTAACGCCAAGCTTTTCCTGACCATTTGAAATTTGACAATTTTTTAAAAAATATATTTTTATTGACTTCAAAGAGGAAGGGACAGGGAGAAACACCAGTGATGACAATCAGTGACCGGCTGCCTCCTGCACGCCCCCTTCTGGGAACGGAGCCCACAACCCGGGCCTGTGCCCTGACCGGGAATCGAACCCTGACCTCCTGGTTCCTAGGTGTTGAGGCTCCCCCGCTGAGCCAAACCGGTTTCGGCCACGCTGACACCTGACGACGCAGACATCAATCAGGACGAGGTACTCACACTCCCGGAAGTGACTGAGCTTGGCCGTGACCTCGTTCTTGAACAGCCGGATGACCCGCTCCACCATCTCCCGGTTCGGACCCGGGCCCAGGGCGTCCAGGTACGGCTCCAGGAGAGGCACGTTCCTCAGGTTCCAGATGAAGTCCTCCCGGCGGAGGCAGCTGAGCTGCGGGTGGTGGAACTCCTACCTCGAGAGCAAGAAACGCTTAGGCCAGCCCAAACCGGTGCGGCTCAGCGGAGAGAGCGTGGGCCTGCGGACTGAAAGGTCCCGGGTTCCAATCCGGTCAAGGGCATGGACCTTGGTGGCGGGCACATCCCCAGGTGAGGGGTGGGCAGGAGGCAGCTGATCCATGATTCTCTCTCATCGATGTTTCTCTCTATCCCTCTCTCTTCCTCTCTGTAATAAAATCAATAAAATATATATATATTTTTAAAAAGAAACACTTAGACCAGTGGTCGGCAAACTCATTTGTCCACAGAGCCAAATGCCGACAGTACAACAATTGAAATTCCTTTTGAGAGCCAAAATTTTTAAACTTCTTCAAACGCCACTTCTTCAAAAACAGACTCGCCCAGGCCGTGGTGTTTTGTGGAAGAGCCACCCTCAAGGGGCCTAAGAGCCGCATGTGGCTCGCGAGCCGCGTTTTGCCGACCACTGGCCTAGCCGGTGTGGCTCAGTGGAGAGAGCATCAGCCTGTGGACTGAAGGGTCCCAGGTTCGATTCCCAGTCAAGGGCACATGCCCAGGTTTCAGGCTCAATCCTCAGTGTGTGTGTCGGGGTATGTGTGCAGGAGGCAGCAGATTCATGATCTGCTCTCATCACTGATGTTTCTATCTCTCTCTACCTCTCCTTTCCTCTCTGAACTCAATAAAAATATATATATATATATATTTTAAAAAGAATCTCTTTGGTATTAGTATATTAAAAAAAAAAATAATAATAATATAAAAGCACACCCAGACAAATAAAAAAATGCTCACACACAAAACAAAACCCCAAGCCTGCCGAAACCGGTGTGGCTCAGTGGATAGAGCGTCGGCCTGCGGACTGAAAGGTCCCGGGTTCGATTCCGGTCAAGGGCACGTACCTTGGTTGCGGGCAAATCCCCGGTAGGGGGTGTGCAGGAGGCAGCTGATCGATGTTTCTCTCCCATCGATGTTTCTAACTCTCTATCCCTCTCCCTTCCTCTCTGTGAAAAATCAATAAAGTATATTTAAAACAAACAAACAGAGAAAACCCATGCCTCACCTCCAGCGTCTTATCCAGGGTGGCAGCCAGCCTCCCGATCTCATACAGCAGCCGGGGGCCGACGGGGACCTCGGCCACGGGCCGCCCCGGGAGGAAGGTCAGCAGCCTCACCAGGTGGCTCTGGGTTCGGGAGCCGCAGTCTGGAGGGGAGGAAGGACACTCCCGTCAAAGCCGTCTCAGAAGAATCAGAGGCCCCCCCCCCGCCCCGCCTCTGTCACCGTCACTGCCAACAAAATCGGAACTCGCAGAGCGAGAGAGAGAAAAAATGTGTGCTGACCTAACACCATCAGCGGGATCTGCGGGGCAGGCTGAGAGGACGGAGCGAGGCGGTCAGCGCCCGCTCGGCGTGGCTCAGCGGTGGAGCGTTGACATATAAACCAGGGGGTCAGGGTTCGATTCCCGGTCAGGGCACAGGCCCCCAGTGGGCGGCGTGCAGGAGGCAGCCGGTTCATGATTCTCTCTCGTCATGGATGTTTCTCTCTCTCTCCCTTCCTCTCTGAAATCAATACAAATTTTTTAATTAAAAATATATATATATCGTTTACTCAGGACATCCTAGGACCAGCAAAGGCTGAGATTAGGACAGGAAGATGCTGGTGGCATTGGGTCCCGTAGGCAAGTCTGACCATAAGCCGAAACGGGTGTGGCTCAGTGGCTAGAGCGTCAGCCTGCGGACTGAAAGGTTCTGGGTTCGATTCCTGTCAAGGACAGGTACCTTGGTTGCGGGCACATCCCCAGTGGGGGGTGTGCAAGAGGCAGCTGATCGATGACTCTCTCATCGATGTTTCTAACTATCCCTCTCTCACTTCCTCTCTGTAAAAAAATCAATAAAATATATAAGAAAATAAATTAATTTAAAAAAAGATAATTTACTGATTTTTTTACAGAGAGGAAGGGAGAGGGAGAGAGAGAAACATCGATGAGAGAGAAACATCCATCAGCTGCCCCCTGCACGCCCCCCACCGCGGATGGAGCCCACCACCCGGGCCTGTGCCCTGACCGGGAATCGAACCCTGACCTCCTGCTTCCTAGGTCGACGCTTAACCCCCGAGCCACGCCGGGTGGCCGGGCCGACGAGGAGGCTGTTCTCGATGTTTCTGCTTGGGACCCAGACCCACTCCTGTGCACAGACTGGCAGCACCCATGGGTGGGGGTGGAGGGATCCCCTTACCCACGGACACCAGCGCGGCGACGCCGCCGCCTCTGGCCGGCCGCACGGAGGCCGTGGGGAAGCCCGCCTGGTGCAGGAAGGCGACCGCGCGGCTCTGCACGTCGATGAGCTCGGGGGTCCTGCTGGCCTCCGCGTTGCTGATCTTGAGGACGAACTCGGCGGGGCCCCCCGCCAAGGGCGCCCGCACGTGGAAGTTCTGGTCGTCGTAGCTCGGCAGCGGCCGCACCTGCGACGCCGGGAGCCCGAACTCGGCCTCCAGCAGCGCGCGGGCCTGCGCCGCGCTCAAGGCCGGCTTGGCCGAGGCCCGCGGCCCCCGGTCGGCGCCGCACGACGTCATGGCGGGAGCACGGCCTGGAGGGGGGAGCCAGACACGTAACGGACATATTAACGGCCGTGATTTCACAGCCTGTCCGCTTAGTGATGTCAGAGAGGAAGGGAGAAGGAGAGAAACATGCGTGATGGGAGGGGATCACGGGTCGGCCGCCTCCTGCACGCAGCCCCACACGGGGGATCGAGCCTGCAAGCCTGGGCAGGGGCCCTTGACAGGAATCGAACCCGGGACCCTTCGGTCCACAGGCTGACGCTCTATCCTCTGAGCCGCACCAGCTGGGGCCTTTTTTTTAGCTTTATGTTGCTCAGTCCATTAAGTTTCCGGAACTTCTCCCTTCCGTGTTTTTTTTAATTATTATTATTATTATTGATTGATTGATTTTTTAGAGAGGAAAAGAGAAAAATAGAGAGTTAGAAACGTCGATGAGAGAGAAACATCGATCAGCTGCCTCCTGCACATCCCGCACTGGGGATGTGCCCGCAACCAATGTACACGCCCCTGACCGGAATCGAACCCGGGACCCTTCAGGCCGATGCTCTATCCACTGAGCTAAATCGGCTCCGGCTTTTCTCATATATATATATCTCTTGCCAAAACCGGTGTGGCTCAGTGGATAGAGCATCGGCCTTCAGACTTGAAAGGTCCAGGGTTCGATTCCGGTCAAGGGTATGTATCTTGGGTTGCAGGCACATCCCCAGTGGGGGGTGGGCAGGAGGCAGCTGATCGATGTTTCTCTCTCATCAATGTTTCTCTCTATCCCTCTCTCTCTGTAAAAAATCAATAAAATATATTAAAAAAATAAAATATATTTCTTTATTGATCTCAGAGAGGAAACGGGGAGGGAGAGAGAGAGAAACATCCATGATGAGAATCGCCCTCACTGGGGATGGAGCCCACAACCTGGGCCTGTGCCCTGACCGGGAATCCAGCTGTGACCTCCTGGTTCCTAGCTCCACGCTCAACCACCAGCCACACTGACTAGGCCCATAAATTATTTTATTCTTTTATTACATTTTAAAAAAATATATTTTATTGATTTTTTTACAGAGAGGAAGGGAGAGAGAGAGCGAGCCAGAAACGTCGATGAGAGAGAAACATTGATCAGTTCCCTCTTGCACACCCCCTACAGGGGATGTGCCCGCAACCAAGGTCCATGCCCTTGACTGGAATCGAACCCGGGACCTTTCCAGTCCGCAGGCCGACGCTCTATCCACTGAGCCACACCGGTTTCGGCTTATTACATTTTTTAATTTTATTGATTTTTTTACAGAGAGGAAGGGAGAGGTACAGAGAGTTTGAAACATCGATCAGCTGCCTCCTGCACGCCCCCTGCTGGGGATGTGCCTGCAACCAAGGTACATGCCCTTGACTGGAATCAATACAGGCCCTAAGTCTGCAGGCCGACGCTCTATCCACTGAGCCACACCGGTCAGTTCCCCATCAATTATTTTAAACTCACTTCCCATCCTGAAGCTCTGTTTCCAGGGACGGAACGCAGACCAGGAAAGCACCTCAGTCCGCTCGCCCAGCTCCCCCCTGACCCACTCCCACCAGCTTTACTCACCGGGGACAGTTAGGCCTGAGAGGGAGCAGTATGAGCTTTGCCCAAAAGTACAGACCAAGTCAGAGCAAGAACTCAGCTCCCGAGATCCCTGATCCGCGACGACGTCCTTTGGACATATTACCGTTCGTTTGAGTTAAAATGTAATTTCCAGCCCGGCCGGCATGGTCCACTGGCTGAGCATTGACCTATGAACCAGGAGGTCGCAGGCCCAGGGGGAGGGCTGGATCCCCAGTGTGGGGCACGCAGGAGGCGGCCGATCCATGATTCTCTCTCATCATGGATGTTTCTATCTCTTTTTCCCACTCCCTTCTTTGAAATCAAGAAAAAATATATATTTTTTTCATTTCAGAGAGGAAGGGAGAGGAAGAGAGAGATAGAAACATCCATGATGAGTATCATGGCTCAGCTGCCTCCTGCACGCCCCCTACTGGTTAGGAGCCTGCAACCGAGGCATGTGACCTTGACCGGAATTGAACCCAGGACCCTTAAGTCGGCAGGCCAATGCTCTATCCACTGATACAACACCAGCCAGGGCTAAAAAAAATATATTTTTAAAAAGAAAAGTATAGTCAAAACCGGTTTGGCTCAGTGGATAGAGCGTCGGCCTGCGGACTGAAAGGTCCCGGGTTCGATTCCGGTCAAGGGCGTGTGCCTTGGTTGCGGGCACATCCCCGGTGGGGGGTGTGCAGGAGGCAGCTGATCGATGATTCTCTCTCATCAATGTTTCTAACTCTCTATCCCTCTCTCTTCCTCTCTGTAAAAAATCTATAAAATATATTTTTTAAAAAGACTTAAAATTTTTTTTTCTTTTTTAATATATTTTATTGATTTTTCACAGAGGAAGGGAGGGGGATAGAGAGCCAGAAACGTCGTCGATGAGAGAGACACATCGATCAGCTGCCTCCTGCACACCCCCCACCGGGGATGTGCCTGCAACCCAGGTACATGCCCTTGACCGGAATCGAACCCGGGACCCTTCAGTCCGCAGGCGATACTCTACCCACTGAGCCACACCGTTTAGGGCAAAGTGCTTTCTTTTTAAACTTAAATTTGCTTTTTTTTTTTTTTTAATTTTTTTTTTTTTATACAAGGACCCCAAACTATGGAACTAACGGCCCAGATCAAGTCAGTTCTGGAAAGCAAATAAACCCAAGGACAGGTGTTTAACCAGCGTCTCCCGCGTGTGCGGAGGCGGCGAAGGGACTCGAATCCCACAGGTGGCTGGTCGGCGTCCCCTGCCAACGGGCGGGGTTTTCCTCAGCCCCCGAGAGAGTGCCAGCGCCAGGCCTCCTGCCAGGGGCCGCACCTTCGGCTCCCTGCTCTGTGCAGGCCACGCCAGGCACGCCGCCCCCCCCCCCCTCGCTCCCCACGGTCCCAAAGTCCAGGAGTTTCTGCCTTGGCACCTGCTCCAAAGCTGGCCTCCGGCACCTGCCACTCCTCCCAGGAGAGCAGGAAGTCAGAGGCCTGCACCCAGCACCCGGCCCAGGTGGAACCGAGGACAAAAGGGGTGCCTTCTCGCCAGAGGCTCCCGGAGCCCGGCCAGGTGGAGGGGCTCAGGGGTTGAGCGCTGACCTCTGAACCAGGAGGTCACAGGTTCAATTCCCGGTCAGGGCACAGGCCCGGGTTGTGGGCTCCATCCCTAGAAAGGGGGCGTGCAGGAGGCAGCTGGTAGCTGATTCTCTTTCATCACTGATGGTTGCTATCTCCCTCTCCCTTCCTCTCTCTGAAATGAATAAAAAATACGATCCCCAATGGGGGGCGTGCAGGAGGCAGCCGATCCATGATTCTCTGTTCATGGGTGTTTCTCTCTCTCTCTCCCTCTCCCTTTCTCTCTGAGATCAATAAAAATACATTAAAAGAGTAAAAAACTGCCCTAACCAGTGTGGCTCAGTGGATAGAGCGTCGGCCTGCAGACTGAGAGGTCCCAGGTTCAATTCCAGTCAAGGGCATGGACCTTGGTCGCCGGCACATCCCAAGTGGGCAGCGTGCAGGAGGCAGCTGATGGATGTTTCTAACTCTCTCTCCCTCTCCCTTCCTCTCTGTAAAAAAAAATCAATTAAAAAAATATATATTTAAAAGTAAAAAACAAACAAACAAAAACGGGGGCTCCCCGGCCTTTAACCCCAAAGGGCACAGGAAGGCAGGGGAAGTCGAGTCTGGTTTCAAGGACAGCGCTCCGAGGGGCTCCCGCTGGGCTGCAGGGGGCTGGGTGCTGGGGACCCAAGGCGCAGGGGGCACCCACCCGGGTCGGTCACGGCGCTGAGGGTGCCAGGTGCACGGACCGCACCCCCGTGGGGTCCCCACGCTCCAGCCCTGGGGTCAGGGAGGAGGAGGCACCGACCCCCCGCCCTTCCCCCGTCCCCCCGCCCCCCCCAGCCCGCTTACCCTGCGCACCCGCGGTCCAGGCGGCGGCCGCTGCCCAGCAGCCCGGGCTGAGGGCGGACCTCGCGCGGGCGAGGTCTCGCGTGGTCAGGTCCCGCGCGGCCAGGTCTCGCGCGGAGCAGCAGCCACTGACCTGCAGCACCTCGGCCCGCCCCAGCCCCGAGCCCGCGACCCCTGACTTCTGATTGGCTCCTTGAGAGAACCCCCGCCGCCAATCAGCGCGGAGGAAGGGACGGCGAGGCCCCGCCCCGCCCTATCTAGACTTCGCAGGACGAGATTAGGCCGCTGATTAGCTCTCCGCAATCTGGCCCCGCCTCCCGGGCGCTCACGTCTGTCAAAATCTGGACGCCTCACGTCACTGGGATTCTTGTTTCTGATTGGCTCTTCGACATTCTGTCCCGCCCCCCCTGTGAGCCGGGCTTCCGGCTATTGAGTTGCACGGAGCAGCGGGCGCGGGCCCGGTAGGAGGTTGGAAGGACCGTGTTTTCTAGGGATCGGAGGTGTCTGGGCGCCACCCTTTCTCCTTTCCCTCCTTCCCGCGGGCAGTGCGCACCCCGGAGGCCGCCTCCGGACCCCGGTCCCGGGAGGTCCCGGCGGGCGGGCTGGCTACCTCTGCACCAGCCCCAGCTCCCGGGATCGTGCTTGCCGATGGGAGGTTTCCGGGGGCGCAGGGCCTGGACTACACACACCGCACCCCATTCCCTACTCTTCCCGAGCCCCTGACTTCACTATACCGGTTGGAAAGGAGGCGGGAGGTTCCCCAGGGGCGGGCCAGTAGTTGGGTCAGAAACTGGAGCCCGATTCTCTCCTCGCGGGGAAAGGGCAGAAACACGTGACTTCCAGGAGCCTGCCCGAACATCCCGAGTAGAGGCCGTAATATTTGGTAACCCTCATCATCAAGGACAACCAGGCTCTGACGGACAGCTGGATGCACTCCGCAGCCCACAGCACCTCTGAGGGGGGGGGATCTTGCACTGGGTCCTTGTTTTTTGTAAATGCTCGGCCCCCACGCTTTTATTCCTGTTCTCTATCAGGATGTAGTGCCCTCGGTTTTCTGGGACCCTGACTGACTCGGATGTTTGCCAAACCTCTGCTGAGGGCGGGCCTTCACCCCTTTGGATTTGGGTCTTAGCTCCAAGCAGCAGGCTGCCTTTCTGCAGTCCCATTCTTTACCATCTCTTCCCTCTGGGCTGAGACCAGCTTTTTAATTTTTATTTTATTTATTTATTAATATATTTTATTGATTTTTGACAGAGAGGAAGAGAGAGGGATAGAGAGTTAGAAACATCAATGAGAAAATCATCAGCTGCCTCCTGCACGCCCCCCACTGGGGACGTGCCCACAACCAAGGTACATGCCCTTGACTGGAATCGAACCTGGGACCTTTCAGTCGGAAGGCCGACGCTCTATCCACTGAGCTAAACCGGTTTTGGCCAGCTCTGATTTGGTTTCCAGTAGCCAGTCTGACTCCTGGCGGGTTGGTGAGGGTGCTCTGCTTACCTGTCCCTCGGGCAACGCGTGAATTCTCCCCCCTCACCATGTTCACTTTGTCCTGTTCTTTTTTTAAAGTACATTTTTATTGATTTCAGAGAACAAGGGAGAGAAACATCAACGATGAGAATCATGGATCAGCTGCCTCTTGCACGCCAGTTTGAGGAGAAAATTGTAGATGCCATCCTATTTCTCTTCGTTAGGTGTTTTGTTTTCAGTCACCACAAACTATTTTATTAGAAGAGTCCAACATGTGATAATACAATTTTCTTTATTAAAAATAATTTACAGCATCAATAACATATACACAATTGTCATCCACAGAACTTCGCCTCCAATAGATTTCCATACAATACTTAGCGTCATTGAACTTAAAACTGCTACGCGGTGTTGTTGGCTTTATGATTGACAATCCGGAGTTGTGTGAGTGAGACGTGTTCGGGGGGGGGAGGGGGGGTTCACATGCTGTGGGGAGTCCCTCTCCTTCCCCCTAATCACAGCACCGAAACCCAAAGGCAGAGGAAGGCGTCTTAACCACAGGGAAATGCCCATCAGTCCATCCCTCCCCGCCGGCCGCTCGCCCGCGGAGGCCATGCAGTGACCGTGCGGGCGATGGCCTGGCCTCATCGGGCCGGAGCCGCACCGGCCCCCTCAGAGCCACTGCAGCCTTGGCCACGGGTCACGTGGACGTCTGGAGCCTTTGGCGTAACCACGCAGCTCAGTGGTGGGCGCCGTTCTCGCCGACCAAAGGCACGGACATGGCGACGCTCTGCGCCTGTGCTGGAACGTCCTTCCCACAATCGCCAGATCGAGTTAACAAAGGGGGTAAGACAGCGACGATCACCAGGCGCCACGTTTCCGCACACCCAGCGTTTGGCTGGAGGCAGAGCTGTCAGTACGCACGGACACATCTGTTCCCGCCCCAGCCGACGCCACGCTGACCCAGCCTTTTGGTTCAGAGAAGGAGCCCCGATTGTGTTCCTGACACACAAGGTTTGCCGGCCTCTTTCTGGGCGAGGCAGGTGGGAATCGAAGTGCTTAGTTCACAGCTTGCTTTTCTGTCTTCACCTCCTGGATCTGATGTTTGTGACCCCCCGCCTCTGCCTCAGACCGTATAATATCCCGAAACCCAATACAGATGCCCGCCCCAACCCAACCTGGAACTGCCATTTCTTCAAACCCTGCCACGGGTGTTTCAACACCCACCATTCTCCATCCCAACTCGTTTTCATGTACATCAGGAGCACACGGGCACTGACAAATACTCAGGACGCTCTGCTCTGAGCACCAGGCAGCACCTTTAATGTAACAGTCTGAGCACGTGCTCCTAGACTGACTGTGCTAAGGCCTCAGCTTTGCACCCACTGGGGCAGCACCCCGGCATCTCAGAGTCAGGAGCCCTCTTCCTGTCCCGTGACCCCCTGCTGAAGTGCAGCAATGCATCAGGTCACAGGAAGGATCTTAGGCGAGAAACATGCAAATCACCTCTGCCACCCACGGAGGTTAATCTTTTGACTTAAAAAGGGGCATGGCTGGGACTTTCTGAAATTCATTACCCAGGCTGCTGCTTAAAAGCTGGCCCGCTTCTTGGAGACGGAGCCCTCGAGGGGGGAGCCGACGCCTCTGGAGAGGACTGGGGTCAGCTTTGGTCACCACAAAGGCAGGACCATCCCCCGCAGGTCAGGAAAACACGGATTCAAACCACAGGACATTGACCTGAGCCACTAGCTAACAGCCAACCCTTCCCACGCCCCGGCCGAGCAGCCACACGGCGGGGGCAGTGTAAATCAGCTGAGCAGCTCTGAGCGGTGGAATCTGTTGGCGAACCCCAGCTCCCAGCTCCCGGGGTGATGGCACCCCAGTGAGTCGCTGCCTCCTCCCCTCAGCCGGCTACTGAGCCCGGCCAGAGGCTCCGCCGAGAGTGTGAGGGCTGCACGACACTGTCGCTGTCGCCGTGCGGGGCTGCAGGGGCTGGGCGTGGAGGCCTCCCCCGGCCGCCCGGGCTCAGTCTGCACCAGCATCGCCGGAGGAGGGACTGGTCCACCCGTCCGTCTGACCCAACCCGCACAGCGTCAGCCGCAGCGCCACAGCCTCCGCGATGCCAACGGAACAGACCACCCGGGGCTCCGCACAGCAGACTCCGACGTCAGTCCCGCCTGTATTTACACTCGGTGAGGACGCTCGGACTCACCTCTCGTCCGCCACGCACGCATGCCGAGCCCAGCAGTGTGAATAGCACCATCGAAAGGATTGAAAATCAGAGTTCATTCTGCAGCTACGTGCCTCGGGGCCTCCCTCCCGCAGGAGCCGGGCGTCGGAGTGTCCGCGGTTCCGTTTGGGGGTCCCGGGCAGTCGGTACTAGGAGAATTTCCGTGCCACAAAGTTTAACAACCCCCCGTGCTTGTACAGCGTTACCTCCACGTCGTTCTCAAAGGCGGCGACCACGCTGAACACTTTCCCGGCGCTCGTCTGGGAAAGAAGAGAGACCGCGTGAGGGCGGGCGGGCGGGCCCCGCGTCCCCCGCGAACCCCGCGGCCTGTCCGGGACACCTCCTGCTCGCTCACCACCCCATGCCCCCCGCCTCGGCTCCGGACACACTGTCGTCCCCGGTTCTGAAGGGCCACACGACGGCGCCTAGAACACGAACCCAGTCCCTCGGGTTCTGACTGTGAGCCACGTCCATCTGCTGACTGCTCCCGTCCATCTCCCGTCCAACACTCACCGCACAGACACCCGCTCCCCCTCCTCTGCCCCGACAGCCAGCCCTGCCTCCCCGTTAACGTGGGGTCAGGACAGAGCTGGGCGGAGGCGGCCGCTGTGCCCGGCTCCCCGTCTCCCCCGACGGCCAGGGGCCGGGTACCTTCACGCTCAGCGTGGCTCCCGGAGACAGCTCCGCGGGGAAGGCCAGGGAGAAGGTCTCGCGGCCGGAGAGGCCCAGGGTGGCGGCACTCTGCCCGGGCAGGAACTGCAGGGGCGCGATGCCGATGCCCACCAGGTGGTCCTTGTGGATCTTCTCGTAGCTCTCCGCCAGCACCGCCCGCACGCCCTGCAACACACCGCGTCAGCCCGCCGCCCTGCGGGGCCTTCCCTGCGCCCTGTACGGGGGAGCCTCTGCTCTGGGTCCGAGCTCCGAGCCCACACTCCGAGCATCCGGACGGAGCCTTTTACAGGCTGCTCTGTGCCCGCCAGGGTGGGCCTGGCCCAGGGGCTCCTGCCTGTCCCCTCCCGAGATGCCCCTACAGCCAGGATCAGGGAAGGGGCCGCTGAGAGAGCTCGGTGCCCCGCAGGGAAGGCCCGGCCCACCCAGACCACAAGGCACCGGGACCTGCGGGCTCGGCCGAAGCCCCGCCTGGGTGCTGGCAGCCCTGCCCCGTCCTGGCCCCCGGGAGGAGGGCCTCCCCGGAGAAGCAGCCGGAGCAGCTCCAGGCCCAGCTCCTCACCGTCCACGCATCCCTCCCCCCCACACCCTCCCGCCACCCACCACACACGGTGCGTGTCTGTGCGAGCCTGGGCCCCGAGAGGGGTTTCCGCCCCCGGGAGCGCCCCGTCCTGCTCTGAGACGAGGACTGGCCCAGGAGGGGAGGGGCCTCTGGGTCGGAGCGAGGCTGAGCCGGCCCCATCGCCCCCGAGCACCGCCCACGCCGCCCAGCCCGGCCCAGCCCGGCCGCGCCCCCTGCGGGTCAGCCTGCAACTGAGCGGACAGCAGGGACCGCCTGCGACGGGGGAGGCCCAGAAGGGAAACAGCGGGGACGAGGGCGTCTCAGAAGGCAGGCAGGCTGCCCGATCACCACCATTCCCGGTCCTCGGGAAAGCCCAGGAAGAGGAGCTGCAGCGCCCACCACCAGGCTGTCCGTTCAGGGCGCGGGGAGAGGACGAAGCCTCCCGCACACGAGGCGGAGCCGGCGAGCCGCCTCCGGCCACACCTGCAGGCACCCGCTCCTCCCGCCGCCTGAGGGGGGGGACGCGCGCACACGTGCCACGGCCCGTGCTCCCCGAGGAGCCGCCTCAGGAGCCGCTCCCCGCCGGCAGGCGGGAAACCGAGTAGAAAGGCCTGCGCCTCCTGGAGCAAGTCCGAGACGGGGGAGTGCCAGGGGGCCGGCACAGAAAGCTGCTCGTGCGGACACACCACTCCCCGTTTCCTCAAGTAAGAAAAGGCCGCCCTGGCCGGGGTGGCTCAGTGGACAGAGCGTCGGCCTGCGGACTGAAGGGTCCCGGGTTCGATTCCGGCCAAGGGCATGGACCTTGGTTGCGGGCACATCCCCAGTGGGGGGTGTGCAGGAGGCGGCTGGTGGATGTTTCTCTCTCATGGACATTTCTAACTCTCTCTTCCTTCCTCTTTATAAAAATCAATAAAATATATGTAAAAAAAGAAAAGGCTGCTGTGGGCTCAAATTTGGGGATTAATGCAACTAGCTTATGTAAGATCACCCGGAAAACCCGCACACGTTATAGGATAAGACAAGCCCCAAAGCCCAGGACGGCGGCGCCTCGGGGAACAGAACCCGGGGAGGGGCAGGCTGGGGAGGGGCAGGCGGGGAGAGGAAGGCGGGGAGGGGCAGGCGGGGAGAGGGAAGGCGGGGGAGGGGCAGGCGGGGAGGGCAGGCGGGGAGGGGCAGGCGGGGGAGGGGCAGGCGGGGAGGGAAGGCGGGGGAGGGGCAGGCGGGGAGGGGAAGGCGGGGAGAGAAAGGCGGGGAGGGGCAGGCGGGGAGGGGCAGGCGGGGGGGGGGCAGGCGGGGGAGGGGCAGGCGGGGAGAGGAAGGCAGGGGAGGGGCAGGCGGGGAGGGGCAGGCGGGGAGGGGCAGGCGGGGGAGGGGCAGGCGGGGGAGGGCAGGCGGGGGAGGGCAGGCGGGGGAGGGCAGGCGGGGGAGGGGCAGGCGGGGGAGGGGCAGGCGGGGGAGGGCAGGCGGGGGAGGGCAGGCGGGGAAGAGGCAGGCGGGGAGGGGCAGGCGGGGAGGGGCAGGCGGGGAGAGGAAGGCAGGGGAGGGGCAGGCGGGGAGGGCAGGCGGGGAGGGCAGGCGGGGAGGGGCAGGCGGGGAGGGGCAGGCGGGGAGGGGAAGGCGGGGGAGGGCAGGCGGGGGAGGGCAGGCGGGGAGGGGCAGGCGGGGAGGGGCAGGCGGGGAGGGGCAGGCGGGGAGGGGCAGGCGGGGAGGGACAGGCGGGGAGGGGAAGGCGGGGGAGGGCAGGCGGGGAGGGGAAGGCGGGGAGGGGCAGGCGGGGGAGGGCAGGCGGGGGAGGGCAGGCGGGGAGGGGAAGGCGGGGGAGGGCAGGCGGGGAGGGGAAGGCGGGGAGGGCAGGCGGGGAGGGGAAGGCGGGGGAGGGCAGGCGGGGGAGGGCAGGCGGGGGAGGGCAGGCGGGGAGGGCAGGCGGGGAGGGGCAGGCGGGGAGGGCAGGCGGGGAGGGCAGGCGGGGAGGGGCAGGCGGGGAGGGACAGGCGGGGAGGGGAAGGCGGGGGAGGGCAGGCGGGGAGGGGAAGGCGGGGAGGGACAGGCGGGGAGGGGAAGGCGGGGGAGGGCAGGCGGGGAGGGGAAGGCGGGGGAGGGCCGGCGGGGAGGGAAGGTGGGGGAGGGCAGGCGGGGAGGGGAAGGCGGGGGAGGGCCGGCGGGGAGGGAAGGCGGGGGAGGGGCAGGCGGGGAGGGGAAGGCGGGGGAGGGCAGGCGGGGAGGGAAGGCGGGGGAGGGGCAGGCGGGGAGGGCAGGCGGGGAGGGAAGGCGGGGGAGGGCAGGTGGGGAGGGGCAGGCGGGGAGGGAAGGCGGGGGAGGGCAGGTGGGGAGGGGCAGGCGGGGAGGGACAGGCGGGGAGGGGAAGGCGGGGGAGGGCAGGTGGGGAGGGGCAGGCGGGGAGGGACAGGCGGGGAGGGGGAAGGCGGGGGAGGGCAGGCGGGGAGGGGCAGGCGGGGAGGGACAGGCGGGGAGGGGAAGGCGGGGGAGGGCAGGTGGGGAGGGGCAGGCGGGGAGGGACAGGCGGGGAGGGGAAGGCGGGGGAGGGCAGGCGGGGAGGGGCAGGCGGGGGGGGGCAGGCGGGGGAGGGCAGGCGGGGAGGGGAAGGCGGGGGAGGGCCGGCGGGGAGGGAAGGCGGGGGAGGGCAGGCGGGGAGGGCAGGCGGGGAGGGCAGGCGGGGGAGGGGCAGGCGGGGAGGGCAGGCGGGGAGGGCAGGCGGGGGAGGAAGGCGGGGGAGGGCAGGCGGGGAGGGCAGGCGGGGAGGGCAGGCGGGGGAGGGGCAGGCGGGGAGGGAAGGCGGGGAGGGCAGGCGGGGGAGGAAGGCGGGGGAGGGCCGGCGGGGAGGGAAGGCGGGGGAGGGCAGGCGGGGAGGGAAGGCGGGGAGGGCAGGCGGGGAGGGAAGGCGGGGGAGGGCCGGCGGGGAGGGAAGGCGGGGGAGGGCAGGCGGGGAGGGCAGGCGGGGAGGGAAGGCGGGGGAGGGGCAGGCGGGGAGGGAAGGCGGGGGAGGGCAGGCGGGGAGGGGCAGGGGGGAGGGCAGGCGGGGAGGGCAGGCGGGGAGGGCAGGCGGGGAGGGCCGTACCAGCAGGTAGGGCCCCTTGGCCGCCCAGTCTCGGGAGCTCCCGGCGCCGTACTTCTTCCCCGCGAGGATGAGGAGTGGGATGCCCTCCCTCTGGTACAGCTCCGCGGCCTCGAACACGTCCAGCTGTGGGCAGACAGACAGACAGAGTCACCCCCTCCCGGCCTCCCGCTCCGCGGCCTCGAACACGTCCAGCTGTGGGCAGACAGACGGACAGAGTCACCCCCTCCCGGCCTCCCGCTCCGCGGCCTCGAACACGTCCAGCTGCAGACGGACAGACAGACAGACAGACGGACAGAGTCACCCCCTCCCGGCCCCCGCTCCGCGGCCTCGAACACGTCCAGCTGCGGCAGACAGACAGACAGACAGAGTCACCCCCGCCCAACCCCTCAGCCCGGCCCCCGCTCCACACGCCCCTCACCGTCTGCCCCGACGGGAAGTGGATGGTCTTGGGAGCCGGTTTCCCGATGAACTTGTTGAAAAGCTTGATGTTTGCGAAAGTGCCTCTGGTCATGACGGCGTCGTTGCCTCTGCGGGCTCCGTAGGAGTTGAACTCCCGAGGGGTAAGGCTGCAAGAAGCCAGGAATAGCAGCACTTACTGGAACGCACTTTATTAATCACGGAAAACTCCCAGCCTCTACGCAAGGAGGGAACACGGGACAGCCAACGCCCAAGAAACTCGGCGGATCTGCACGGACACGCCCAGGTCCTTTCTCTAGGAGACGGGCCGGGCCCTGACGATCACCAATAGCAAAACAGCAAAAAATAAAAACAAAGGCAACAAAAGAAGTTGCGGCTTCCTCCTCTCAGGCAGGCAGTTAACACCGCGGCCCCTGCCCGTCTCCCTTCCTGTGCTGGTTTGTCCCCATCAGGACCCAAATGCGGTTCACAAATGCATCCCATTCATCTCACTCCCTTGTGTCTCCTCGTCCCATGTTTTCCCGAAAATAAGACATCCTCCGAAAATAAGACCTACTTACAGGTTTCCTTCTGAGTGAAATATAAGGCATCCCCCCGAAAATAAGGCCCCCCCCAGGCTAACCATGAGAGATTTGGTCAACTGATTCTGAAAGAAATGGAGTCACAAGAAATTCACCAGGAAATTCAGGAACTGGATTGTTAGGACGATGTTCCAGAAGAGGATGACACGATTGTCATTGAATAAATGCGTAAATTCTTGCTACTGTAGGATTCACAGTGTGTCTGGTTTGTGTTGACAACTACCGTACTACCGTACCGTATACAGGTAATGCATTTCCTTTATTTTCGTTTAACAATAAATGTGCACCGTATTCTTCTTCATGGAAAAATAAGACATCCCCTGAAAATAAGACCTAGCGCATCTTTGGGAGCAAAAATTAATATAAGACACTGTCTTATTTTCGGGGAAACAGGGTACTTCAAGGCATGGTTTTCTGCCTCTCCATGCTGTCCTCACACTCAGACTCCCGCCCCTGCACTCTTACACACCAACTAGAGGCCCGGTGCTTGGAAATTCATACACTGGAGGGAGGGTCCCTCAGCCTGGCCTGCCCCCTCTCACAGTCCGGGAGCCCTCAGGGGCAGGAGGCAACCCGGCCATCAGGGGAAGGTGACGCCCCATCTCTCCTCTGCTGCTGCCACTGCCGGCAGCGCCAGCCTCGGCCGGCCCTGGTTAGCTGGGCCTCGGGCGGCTCTGGGCAGCCGGGCAGCTGAGGGAACTGGGCACCGCCATCTTTGTGAGGGTGTGATGGTCAATTAGCGTCCTCCCTCTTTATGTCAGACAAGGCGTGGGATCAGTGGTGTGGCTCAGGTGGCTGGAGTGGTGCCCCACACACAGACAGGTGGGTGGGGGGGGTGTGTGTTGGTTCTTGGTCGGAGCACACACCCAGGCCGCTGGTTCAACCTCCAGCCGGGCATCTACGTGTGGCAACCAACCAATGTTTCTCTCTCTCCATCCATGTTCCTCCCTTCCTCTCTCTAGAATCAATGAAAAACTCCTCCTGAGTGAGGACTGAAAAGCTCACCTGGCTTTTGACTTGATCCCAGCCCCAGGAACCTGCCCTTGCACTCTACAGCCCAGCCCACCCAGCACATGGCAGCCTGCCCCCACCCAGGAGGGCGGCGAGGCCAGCCCCCGGCCTTTACCAGGCGGGCAGACCAAGCCCCACCCGCTGAGCCACACCGGCCACGGCCACGGCCACGGCCACGCTGACCTGCAGGCTCTGGGCAGAGGCAGGTGCGCCGCCCCCCCCCCCCCCCCCCCGTTACAGGGTGCCCCGCCCCGGGCGCACCCACCCTCTGTGGGTCAGGTACTTGGCGGCAGCGCTGCTGCGGGCGATGCTGCCCGCGGGGGAGATGTGGTCGGTGGTGACGGCGTCGCCCAGGTGCAGCAGGACGTGCGCGTTCTCGATGGGCGGCGGGGCGGCCGGCTCCCGGGTCTGGAGGGGGGGAGGGGAGGCGCTGAGCTCCGCGGTGTCACTCACCGGCCGAGAGAGGAGGGACGGCTGTACTCACCAGCCCGTCGAAGAACGAGGGGCACCGGATGTACGTGGACTTGGCGTCCCACGGGAACAGGACCGAGTCGGGCGCCTCCAGGGAGTTCCACCGCTTGTCGCCCGTCTGGGGGAGCGGACAGAGGGTCAGACAAGAGGCTTAGGCAGCGGTCACGGGAATGAAACTACTCAGGCTTCCCCATTTCCTGAGGAAGGCGAACAGCGCATTCTCAACCATCGTGGCACCCTGGCTGGTGCGGCTCCGTGGATAGAGTAGGGGTGTCGAACTCAATCAGAGAAGGGGCCAAAATCTAAAATCCAGCCTAAATCGCGGGCCGAATGGTTTACTGAACAGTCATAAACTGTCATTGTGATGGAAACGCAGCGGAGTGCAGTGATGACAGCGCGGTGCGGGCCACATTGCAAGGCCTGGCGGGACGGATTTGGCCCGCGGGCCTTGTGTTTGACACATGTGGGATAGAGCATCAGTCTGCAGACTGAAAGGTCCCATGCCTGGGTTGTGGGCTCGATCCCCAGTTGGGGGCGCACAAGAGGCCACCGATCAATTGTTCTCTCTCATCACTGATGTTTCTATCCCCCTCTCCCTTCTGCTCTGAAATCAACAAAGACATATTTAAAAGAATAAAATAAACCATCATGGCATTCCCAGGAGGAATAAAGACTTCTCGTCCAATCTCAGCACGCTGTATTTGCAGGAACACCTTCAGAGTTAAGTTTTATTATAAACTGAACATGAAAGGCTTCAGAATCCACCCTGACCAGGTGGTTGGAGCATCAGCCCATCTACCAACAGGTTGTGGGTTCGATCCCCAGTCAGGGACCCACCTAGGTTTCGGTCCCGTGCCCAGTTGGGTGAGAAAGGGAGGCAGCTGACTGATGTCTCTCTCTCCCTCTAAAAATCAATGACACATCCCACAAAAAAACAAAGCCTTAATGAACGCGAAGGAAGCTGGAGGAGCTAGAAAGATCCGCACACGCTGCTGAGGAGTGAGCATGCTGTGTGTGTGTGTGAGATGTATGTTTGAATGTGCTGTGTATGAGCTGTGTATGCTGTGTGTGTGCTGTATGTGTGTTGTGTGTGTGCTATGTCTGTGTGTGCACGTGTATGTGTGCTGTGTGTGTGCACGAGATGCTGCTCACTGTGAAGAACAGGACAGAAAGGCCTCTGCTTTGAGATGTGTCCCTCCACCTCCCTGTGTATCCGTCCTCCCCAACCACACGCCAGTGCCCAGTGCTCAGCTCCGAGGCCCTGCAACGCCCGAGCTGGACCTCAACGTCCCTGCTCCGTGCTCACCGCCCCCGCCCCCAGCATGGCTCAGTCCAGAGCCAGCCTTCTGATGATGACATGCCTCCCTCTCAGCTTCCCAACACTCCCCACGATGCTCCCCACCACTAAACCCCGAGCAAAGAGCAAAGACTGCCTTTTATCACAACTCCCAGCGACTCCCCCAGGCCGCCCCGCCCACCGACTGGGAAAGTGTGACTCTGAGCCCAGGCATGTGACCACCTGTAACCTCCGCTCAAGGCCCTTTTCAGCCCTCCCCCCTAAAACTGCAGCGTGCCCCCCATTCTGCACAACCGGCTCTTTGTCCTGTGTTTTCATCTGTACCTTCCACAGCCTGTACCGCTTTCTCACACACGGTGTGACTTCCCTGGCCGTTCTGCACTATCACTACCTCCTCTCCCAGGAGAACCGTTTTGTGCACAGACACACGCTGACCTCACAGCATGTACTCGGTAAACAGGAGTGCACCGATGCCCTTTCTGCCTCCTATTTTTTTTTTGTTGTTGTTTTTTTTTTAAAATATATTTTAACTTTTTACAGAGAGGAAGGGAGAGAGATAGAGAGCTAGAAACGTCGATGAGAGAGAATCATCGACCAGCTGCCTCTTGCACACCCCTACAGGGGATGTGCCCGCAACCAATGTACATGCCCCTGACCTGAATCGAACCTGGGACCTTTCAGTCCGCAGACCGACGCTCTACCGCTGAGCCAAACCGGTTTTGGCTCTGCCTCCTGTTTGTATTGTTCATGCTTGTGTGCGCATACACCTTTGGGAGATGTTTAGGGATCTGACCCCTCTGAGGAGAGGGAGTGGGATGTCACTGCACCCAATTCTTTTGAATTCTGAACCATTTCGGTAAGAGTGACAAGCAAGGGTAGTGTACGGTGAGAGAGAGAAACATCGATGAGAGAATCATCATCGATTGCCTGGTGCCTCCACACGCCCCACACTGGGGACTGAGAAACCCGGGCGTGTGCCTGACCCGGAACCAGCCAGCGACCTCCTGGTTCGGGGGCCGATGCTCAGCCGCGGAGCCCCGCCCGCTGGCTGCACTGCTGTAAGCGCCAAAACCAACGCCCGTCCTCCAAGCTCTGCTCTCAGATTCCAGATGTACGACGACCCTCGCGTTCGGACCGCGCAGGCCACGTGGCGCCCGGAGCCGCCTGGACCCCCAGAGAACACGCCCGCGCCGGCCACGGGCCCCGAGCTGACCTCCATCCTCTCCTTCAGCGCCTGGAACACGGAGCACAGCACCTGCTCCTCCTCCACCCGCTGCACCTCCTCTCGGCTGGGCCAGATGTCCTGCAGGTAGACGTGCCTGCCGGCGGGGTCCGTGCCTGGCGAGACACGAACACAAACCGTAACTCCAAAGCCCGGCCACGGGTAGGGAGGCCCCGGACTGGGCACAGCGCATGTGCAGTCCTCAGCTTAGCCCAGCCCAGCGCCAGGGCTGTGCCATGCCTGAGGCACATGAAATGCTAACTGCTAGGTCCTGGCGGGGAAAGATCAGAAACACGCGTCTCATAATAAGGTTATTAATGTTAACGGAGGCTCAGGAGGGATGGAAAGCGTGTGGAGCTGTGACTGAGGCAGTCACTTCCAGAGAACAGTGAGCAGGTAGTTCTAGCACAGCCCCAGACACACCACCTAACAGGTTCATGTTATTCTGCAATAGAACTGGGTGCTGTGAGAACAGTAAGGGGGTCACTACTGGCTTCCAGAAAACTCGGTGGGGGCTAGTGTGGTCTGCTGGAATGATTTCAGAGGGCGGGTCCTGTGAACCAGGTATTCTCAGGAGCCGGACGGTTCCAATGCTGAGCCTCCGCCCTCTGACTGTCGGTGTGATCTGAGATGCATTTAACAGGCCTGTTTCTCGCCTGAAGAGTGAGTTTCAACGGCGGTGCATGTGACCTGCTGGAACCCGGGGCAGGTGCGGGCGTACCGAGGGGCTCCGTCTGGAAGTCTATGCTCACGGTGCCGGCGATGGCGCACGCCACCACCAGGGGCGGGGAGGCCAGGTAGGTGGCGCGGACGCAGTCGCAGAGCCGCCCTTCGAAGCTCCTGCTTCCGGACAGGACGCCGCAGGTGACCAGATCGCCCTGAAACACAGGCCGGGTGAGGGGCGGCCGGGGGCAGCCCCATGGGGACACGAGCGAGCCTTCCCTTCTAAAGAATCACTCTGAGAATCAAAAGACGGGCCTTCTGGTTATTTTAGGGTGGACGGTGCGAGGACTAGCGCCTATAAACGCATCAACAGACGTTCCCGGTGAGTTAACGGCAGGCGCGTGAGGAGGAGCCGTTACCTGTTTGACGGCGCTCAGGACGGCCTCGGACAAGGGCCCCGTGTTCCCCACGCACGTGGAGCAGCCGTAGCCGACGACCTCAAACCTGCGGCAGAGAAGCACCGGGTTGGCAGAGCACCGCCACGCGTGCGCGAGGGGCAGTCAGCTTCCTCCCGCGCCATAACCTGAGGAGTCGTGACTCAGACCAGCCTGCCGTCCCTTCCCCTCCCGACCTGGGCCGAGGCCGCCCCCTGGCTGGCTGCCCACTGCCCACAGTAGGAGGGGCACGCCCAGAGGAGCACACTTGGGACTGGCACGCCCAGAGGGGCACACTCAGACAAGCACACCCGGAGGGGCACACTCAGAGAGGTACACCTGGAGGGGCACACTCAGAGAGGCACACCTGGAGGGGCACACCCGGAAGGCACACCTGGAGGGGCACATTCGGATGAGCACACCTGAAGGAGCATATTTGGACGGGCACACTCAGAGGGGCACACTTGAATGGGCACACCCGGAGGGGCATACTTGGTCAGGCAGAGTCGGATGGGCACACCCGGAGGGGCACACCCGGTCGGGCACACTCAGATGAGCACACCCTGGCGGGCACACTCGGAGGGGCACACCTGGAGGAGCACACTCAGACAAGCATACTCAGAGGGGCACACCCGGAGGGGCACAGCCGGATGGGTACACTCGGACGGGCACACCCGGAGGGGCACAGCCAGTCGGGCCCACCCGGATGGGTACACTCGGACGGGCACACCCGGAGGGGCACAGCCAGTCGGGCACACTCAGATGGGCACACCCTGGCGGGCACACCTGGAGGAGCACACTCAGACAAGCATACTCAGAGGGGCACACCCGGAGGGGCACACTCGGACGGGCCCACCCGGATGGGCACACCCGGAGGGACACACCCGGATGGGTACCCTCGGACGGGCACACCCGGAGGGGCACAGCCGTCGGGCAGGCCCAGAGGAGCCGGGGTGAGGCTGCATCGGACACTGGGAGAAGCCTCGGCCTCCTCGCTGGGAACGTGACCCGGACCGTGTCCTGCACATCCTCCGGAGGGCTCACCCCGGGGAGCACCTTCTGGCGAGAGGCCCGAGCGGCCGGGACTGACCGCAGTCATTCCCCCCTCAGGCCAAGGGAGTCCCTGGCAGACAATTCAAGACGACAGGACTGAAAATGCACACACACAGCCACAGAAGGACTTCCGGGTGCTCTTCCGAGTTTAAAAAACCAAACCAAACCAACCCCCACAAAAACATAAAACGCACCCGGCTTGCAAGGAATGGACGATTTACGTAAGACAGAACGTCGGAGCCGGCCTGGCGCGGCTCAGTGGTTGAGCGTCGATCCAGGAACCGAGGTTCGATTCCCAGCCAGGGCACGTACCAGGCTGTGGGCTTCCTCCCCAGCGGGGGGCATGCAGGAGGCAGCCCATCCATCCCCCTCATCGTTGCTATTTCTCTCTCCCCCTCCCTCTCTGAAATCAATGGAAACATTTAAAAAAACACCTTGCTCAGTTATAACGCAGCCTGGAGAGCGGCATTCTGTTCTGAAAACGCCCTATGGGCTCGGAGGGACTGGCCAGCACCATCCCTGTAGGTCACCGCCACCTGGTCTGACGGCCTGTCTGCCAGCCACACCTGCACTCTCGCCAGCACCTGCCTGATGCTGACGGTGCCCCCGTGTCTGCTGAGGGCTAGGCCTCGGGGTGAGAGACATTGGCCAGGGGAACGCAGGACTAAGCCTGTTCTTTCTCTCTTCTCTGCTTGATGGTGCCGCGGGAGAGAGGCCGGGGCCGGGGCGGGGCTCACCCGAGCGTGCGCAGGTAGGGCAGCACGCCGCTGGCGCTGAGGTAGTGCGTGACCATGCCGCTGCCGGGCGCCAGGCTGGTCCTGATGTAGGGCTGCACCCGCAGCCCCGCCTCCACCGCCTTCTTGGCCAGCAGACCTGCGGACAGACAGGGAGGCCATGGGCTGCCACACGGAGGGACGGACAGGCGCCAGGGGGAGCCCCACACTCACGCACTTGTTTCCCCCCCCCCCCCCACTCCCGCCCCCCGCCTCCCGCCACGCGTTCCACCTGAGACCAGCGCTGCGGAGGCGCAGCCCGGCACAGGCTCCGGCTCGCATGGCCTGAGCCGTTTCCGTTGCCACCGTCACGGTAAGCGAAGCCACTGAGTCGGGGCCCGGTGCCCACGTTAAGCGTGTGGTGTGCACAGGGCGGACGCATGGCGGCCCTGCCCGTGTCTCCTCTCACGCTCAGCGGGTCCGGCACAGCCATGGCGGCTCCCAGACCAGACCTGCCAGGCACAGCCCTCCTGGTCGCACGGCTTCAACCACCACCACACGTGTCAGTTACGTGTGCCTTCCTTCCGTGTGACACAGGAAAACCGGTGACACAGCCTTGGCCCAAGGGACAGAAAGGCCGTGGCGGAGGGAGGACGGGGGCCTCGCACGCCCCTACCTGCGGCCAGCATGACGGACGGGTTGCAGTTGTTGGTGCAGCTGGTGAGGGCGGCGACGACGACGGCGCCGTGCGACAGGCGGTAGTCACGCCCTTCGTAGTGGAGGGCGACGGCGGCCTCCTGCTTCTCGGCCGCGATCTGGAAGCCCCGGAACCCCACCTGGAGGGATGCCCACACACATGAGCACGTTCTGACACGGAGAGAGAGCACGGCCCTGCCCGGTGTGGCTCAGTGGATAGAGCCTCGGCCTGCGGACTGAGGAGTCCCGGGTTCGATTCCCGGTCAAGGGCACAGGCCTGGGTTGCAGGCTTGATCCCTAGTGTGGGGAGTGCAGGAGGCAGCCAATCAATGATCCTCTCTCATCACTGATGTTTCTCTCTCCCTCTCCCTTCCTCTCCAACATCAAAACATCTAAAGGAAAAAAGAAAAGAAAAAGGAAACACATGCGGGGACTGAACACTCCACGTCAGACATGTGTGAGGTGTGACAGCTGGGACCCAGCTGGACCCTGCGTGCCGCCATGAGGCACCTGCTGCCCACAGTCCCCCCTGCTGCTGTGAGCCCAGCCCACGGGCCCGGCTCTCCCTCAGCTCCGGTTCTAACCATTCCTGCCACAGCAACTCTGAGGCGGGGCCAGCTGTGTGTGCAGGTGGCCCCAGGGATCTGCCCCCAACGACTGCGTGTGTGTGTGTGTGTGTGTGTGCGTGTGCATGCGCGTGTAGAATCTGCTGGAGTTGGCGACGGTTGGAGCAAGGCCCGTTGGAATTCACGACGCTATCTGAACTCCTGTACAAGCCTGACATTTCCCATAAGAAAATCAACCAACTGTAAAAACCAAAGCTCTGGAAAGACAGAGAGGCCAGCCCGCAGCACAGAGAACGTGGAGCCACGCGTGTCAGGCGGGTGGGTTTTCTGAGTCGGCAGATCCCGCCGAAACGTCTGAGCCGGTGGGAACACGCCAGGGGAGCCTCAGCCACGCAGTATCGGCAGGGGAAACGGGGCTTTGACCGGAAGCCAGCCTTTGGGCTGGAACCTCAGGGACCCGTGTGGAGGCTGCCGGGCAGCGGGGGCGGACGGACGGGGAGCCCACCTTCTCACTGAGGCAGGCGCGGAAGTCCCTCTTCATCTCCGTCACAGCCACCCTGTCCTGCGGCCTCTTGGGACCGCTGACCGTTGCCACGATGGAGCTCAGGTTGATCCGGATCACCTGGACGAGGAGAGGGAAGAGTAAGTACATTTGTATTTTTTAAAATAGATTTTACTATTTTTTTACAGAGAGGAAGGGAGAGGGACAGAGAGTTAGAAACGTCGAGGAGAGAAACATCGACCAGCTGCCTCTTACACACCCCCCACTGGGGATGTGCCCGCAGCCAACATACACGCTCCTGACGGGAATCGAACCTGAGACCTTTCAGTCCGCAGACCGACGCTCTATCCACTGAGCCACACCGGTTTCGGCTATATTTGTATTTTTTAAATGCAACTTGTTGTAATGGGGAAACACACCCACCAAAGGTATTTAAAACCCCATTTAACTTAAGATATGAAAACGTGCTAAAAGCAAGACTACAGATGCATATGCAAACTGCCACACCAACAAGTGTCCTCTACGTGAATTTCTTCCCACTGCCCCGCCCACAGCAGCACCGTCCCTACCGGCGCCTGGGATCTGGGCATGCCCTGCCTCGGCTCAGACCGCCCTCTCTGCCTGGGCCGAGTGAGCCTTCCTTCTCCGCTTCACTGAAAGAAAAACCTACGTACAACTAGTGAGCAGGGCCACAGAGAACGTGTTAATAACAACAATCCTATTTAACGAGGAGGAAATATGCAAATTGACCATCACTCCGCCACAAAATGGCAGCACCTGGCCACGGAGGGACTCTGGCCAGGGAGGGCAGTTGTGGGCCATGAGGCCAGCAGGTGATGGCATTTTTTTTGGGGGGGAGGATTAGGCCAGCAGTGGGGATCAGTTGGGGGTGAGCAGGCCGGCAGGCAGAGTGGTTAGGGGTGATCGGGCAGGCAGGCGAACAGTTAGAAGCCAGCTGTCCCGGATTGTGAGAGGGATGTCCAACTGCTGATTTAGGCCCAATCCCATGGGTACATCCCCCGAGGGGTCCCGGATTGGAGAGGGTGCAGGCCACTGAGGCACACCTCCCAGTGCCCTGTGCACCGAGCCTCCAGTAGTAACAACGGCTGTCAGCACTGAGCCTGTCCGAGGGCACGTGCGCCTCCTCGCGTCCGAATCCGTGTGGCAGCGTCACCTTCGCACTCGGCGACGGGGACCGGGGGCGGAGGCTCGTGGCTCGTCGGCTCACACAGCTGACAGCCCTCAGAGGCGGGGCCCGGGGCTCCGGCCGGCGGCTCCGCCCTCACCTGCGAGTACTCGGGCTGCCCCGCGTCACTCCGCTCACTCCGGAACAGCCTCACAGCCTTCAGGTAGGCTTCCATGGAGCTGAGCTTGGCTTTGTCGAAACCTGGAACACGAACAGCGGAAACCCGGAGAGGGGTTCTGAAACCTCGGGGGAAAGGGGCCGAGTTCCAAGGATGAGCAAGAGACGCACGTTACAAATTACTGAGCGGCCGGAACTGGCTTCTCTGCGAATCAGCACCGGACAGCGCTCGGAGCCTTTCTGAGCAGCTGGCAGCCCCTCCAGGTGACAGATGGAAGCAGGACCAGGGACGCTGGGCAGAGCGGGCCCCTCACCAAGGGGACTAAGGGGACAAGGGAGGCGCAGACCTGCGCTCGGCTCCTTCCTTTAAGCTGCGTCTCAATGGGTCCGTGGAGACTTTAAGGCTATAAAAAGTCATCTGATGGCCGAGACCAGTTTGGCTCAGTGGATAGAGCATTGGCCTGCGGACTGAAAGGTCCCGGGTTCGATTCCAGTCAAGGGCATGTACGTTAGTTGCAGGCACATCCCCGGTAGGGGGTGTGAAAGAGGCAGCTGATCGATGATTTTCTCTCATTGATGTTTCTAACTCTCTATCCCTCCCCTTTCCTCTCTGTAAAAAAATCAATAAAAATGTATTTAACAAAAATAAAAATAAAAATCCATCTGAGCCGAAACCGGTTTGGCTCAGTGGTAGAGCGTCGGTCTGCGGACTGAAAGGTCCCGGGTTTGATTCCGGTCAGGGGCATGTACATTGGTTGCGGGCACATCCCCGATAGGGGGTGTGCAATAGGCAGCTGGTCGATTTTTCTCTCATCGACGTTTCTAGCTCTCTATCTCTCTCCCTTCCTCTCTGTAAAAAATCAATAAAAAAATAAAAAAAATCCATCTGATGGTTTATGTGAGCCATTGTCCCAAAATCACGTGATTTCATGAACATAAAAAACCAAGGCAGTGTTCACCCACCAGCCCTCCTGCTCCTCACCTGTGTGCTCCAAGTGTCTTAGCGTCACACTGTCCACAGGGAAGAAGCTGAGGGGAGCACCGTACTCCGGACTCATGTTGGCGATGGTCGTCCGGTCCACCACGGACAACTGCGAGACTCCGCTTCCGAAAAACTCCACGAACTTCCCGGCCACGCCCGCCTGCCTGAGGTGCTGTGTGCGGGACGCAGACGCACGGTTAGCAACGAGATGGCTCCGACTCCCCGAAAACCCTACACCCGTCCCCACCCTGGAGAAGGGAAACAGAGGACGGTGCTGCCCTATGCACACGCTCGCTGTGGCCCAGCGCTCTGAGATGAACAGGCAGAAGGGAGGTCAGCATCAGTGCTGGGCGGGAGAGGGCGTGACACTCATGGCTGGGATTCCCGTGTCCCCGTTCTGAGATGGGGTGCAGGGTGGATCCCGGTGCGTGCCTTTTCCTCGCTGAGCAGCACATAAAGGAACTGCACTTCCAGCCACCGATGGCGTCTAGGGCTGAATTAAATACTCAAACGGCGATCACACTGCGTATATGAACACAGTTATACACCCTGCACATCCCAGCTCCTGTCCACACATTCACAGCAATCATCGTTATAGGCCAGTTCCATTTTGATGGGATTTACCAGGTGGCTCCAAACTTAATTCCTTCTAACGGCCTTTTTCTTTTCTTTTAAAATATATTTTGATTTTTTACAGAGAGGAGGAGAAAGGGATAGAGAGTTAGAAACGTCAATGAAAGAGATTCATTGATCAGCTGCCTCCTGCATACCCCGCACTGGGGATGTGCCTGCAACCAAGGTGCATGCCCTTGACCGGAATCGAACCTGGGACCCTTCAGTCTGCAGGCCAACGCTCTATCCACTGAGCCACACTGGTTTCAGCATAACGGCCTTTTTCTCAGTCACTACCAAGTAACCGGAGCAGCTGCCCACCCTCCCTCACTGTACAGCTGGCTCAGACTGGCGTGGGGAGAGCCGGGGCGGCCAGGAGGGAAACCACCTCGGGCCTCTGAAGACTTTAGCCCTCCGGGTGGGGTCACCTGACCCAAACTCTACAGATGCACACGCGCAAGCCTAAGAGACGTGTCTCCTTCGATTCACGGTGGTTGCTTTTGCAATAAGAGCGAGACAGGTTAGAGCACATGTGTCAAACACAAGGCCCGCGGGCCAAATCCGTCCCGCCAGGCCTTGCAATGTGGCCCGCACCGCGCTGTCATCATTGCACTCCGCTGCGTTTCCATCACAATGACAGTTTATGACTGTTCAGTAAACCATTCGGCCCGCGATTTAGGCTGGATTTTAGATTTTGGCCCCTTCTCTGATTGAGTTCGACACCCCTAGGTTAGAGACACCGAGAGGCTGCCCTCACCAAACAGTGAGGATTTGAAAACCACAGGATTAACCCTGTCAAGACCGTGAATAGGACCGGACCTCCACCAGGTACAACCTTCAGTAATCAGCTTCTGTACCCGCAGGTCAAAATGTTAAAGCCAGGCTCAGGGCACTGTTTCTTTAAGGATGCGGGAGGAGGGGGGGGATTGGAGATGCTGCAGGGAAGAATCGATCTCCATGGAAACATAATGGGATGCTCCTCTTCCTTCAGGAATAGGCTGTAATTACCAATTTAGCTTCTTGACCTTTGGTCCATACACAAATCAATCATTTCTGCAAGGTGTCAAAGGCTTCCCAAATGGGGAAGGATCAATACTGGGTGCTGGGAGGGGGCAGTACGTTCTTCCCTGCGGACGTCCTGAAGATCCCCCCACCCCCCACAACCGCCCGCTGCCCGCGGGGAGCACAGTGGGCCCAGGTGCGGGACTTCCCCGTGTGAACGGAGTCACACGATCACACTGTGACAGCCCCAGCTGGGGAGCAGCCCCGTCTAAGCCCCCCAGGGCTCTCTCCTCTGACACAGGCCACCTCGTGGGCTTCGTGTCAAAACACAATGAAACCAAGCCAGCGAGCACCAGGAATCCCGGGGGTGCGGACAGCGGTCACTGGAGACCTCCGTGCAGGGCTATGAAGCAACGCGGAGCAGCCCACAGGACAGCCTGACGCACCCTGGCCGGTGTGGCTCAGTGGATAGAGCGTCGGCCTGTGGACTGAGGGGTCCCGGGTTTGATTCCGGTCAAGGGCACATCCCCAGTGGGGGGCGTGCAGGAGGCAGCCGACCCGTGATGCTTTCATCCTGGATGTTTCTCTCCCTCTCCCTCCCTCCCTGAGGTCAATGACAATGTATTTACAAAGAACGGCTGACGCTACTGCAGCCCCAGTCGCTGTTTCTGAAAGGACCCCGGGTAGAACGATGGTCTCGAAGGGGCAGGTAACTGCGTGACATGTTAAAGGAGACTAGACTTTCCCAACACACACAGAGCCCCCAGCTGCGTGCTGAGGCAGGGGCAGGGGCAGGGGCAGGGGCTGGGGCAGGGGCAGGGGCTGAGGCAGGGGCTGGGGCTGGGGCTGAGGCAGGGGCAGGGCTGAGGCTGGGGCAGGGGCAGGGGCTGAGGCAGGGGCAGGGCAGGGGCAGGGGCTGAGGCAGGGGCAGGGCTGGGGCTGGGGCTGGGGCTGGGGCAGGGGCTGAGGCAGGGGCAGGGGCTGGGGCTGGGGCTGGGGCAGGGGCAGGGGCAGGGGCTGGGGCTGGGGCAGGGGCTGGGGCTGGGGCTGGGGCAGGGGCAGGGGCAGGGGCAGGGGCTGGGGCAGGGGCTGGGGCAGGGGCAGGGCGCAGGGGCTGGGGCAGGGGCAGGGGCAGGGGCAGGGGCTGGGGCAGGGGCTGGGGCAGGGGCAGGGGCAGGGGCTGGGGCAGGGGCAGGGGCAGGGGCAGGGGCTGGGGCAGGGGCAGGGGCTGGGGCAGGGGCAGGGGCAGGGGCAGGGGCAGGGGCTGGGGCTGGGGCAGGGGCTGGGGCAGGGGCAGGGGCAGGGGCAGGGGCAGGGGCAGGGAGGGCTCCAGAACCCATCTGGCAGTGCTGCCCCATTCCTGGGCAGCCCTGGCCCTCGAGAGTCCGTCAGCCTCACGGCGCCTCTTTCTCAGAGTGGAGGCGGGAAAAGGCCCGGCAGCACCACCCTCCGGGCTGTGAGGGGGACGAGGGAGCCGGCCTCCGGGACGGAGGGTCTCGCCAGCACCAGGGCACGTACCTTGGTGATGCCCAGAACGACGTCGATGGACGTGACGAAAGGGTTGGAGGAGCCGGTCAGCTCGCACCCCACCACCTCGGGCAGCGTGAGGGACACGGGCAGCCCCAGCATCACGGCCTCGGTCTCGATGCCTCCGACCCCTGCAGCGAGACGCACGCACGTGTGAGCACAGGACTGGGGGGCCCGCGCGGCTCCGCAATCTGTGGGCTCCAAACCCGCTCTCCTCGCGCACATGGCGAGACCCCGATCTCACCGTGAGGCTAAGTCCTGGAAACACTGAGTCCCGGTTAGGCTAAACAGGGTCACACACTCAAGACGTAATACCGAAAGCACACACATGTCCCAAACCCTCTCTTAGCCCAGCCAGGTATGTCTCTGTGGTTGAGTGATGACCCAGGAACCAGGAGGTCAGGGGTTCGATTCCCAGTCAGGGCACATGTCCAGGTTGGGAGCTCCATCCTCAGTGTGGGGGCATGAGGGCGGCAGCTGATCCGTGATTCTCTCTCATCACTGATGTTTCTCTCTCTCTTCCTTCCTCTCTGAGATCAATAAAACAATATTTAAAAAATAAAACAACCCGCCGAAAACCGGTTTGGCTCAGTGGTAGAGCGTCGGCCTGCGGACTGAAGGGTCCCGGGTTCGATTCCGGTCAAGGGCATGGACCTTGGTTGCGGGCACATGCCCAGTAGGGGGTGTGCAAGGGGCAGCTGATCGATGACTCTCATCGATGTTTCTAACTCTCTATCCCTCTCCCTTCCTCTCTGTGAAAAACCAATAAAATATATATATTTTTAAAAATAAACAGACCCCCCTGACCACCCCGTCCCACCCTCGGGAGCTGAGCTCTCCCCTCCTGCTGCCCGGACGGGGCTGCACGACCCGCGAGGCCCCGCCCTCGGCGGAGGACGGCGGCGGCAGCGGCACTCACCCCAGCCCAGGACGCCCAGGCCGTTCACCATGGGGATGTGGGAGTCCGTGCCCACCACGCTGTCCGGGAAGAGCAGGGCCTCCTCCTCGAAGACCACCCGCGTCAGGTACTCCAGGCTCACCTGGTGCGCCAGGCCCGTGCCGGGCGGGACCAGGGCCACGTTCCGGAAGGCGCGCGAACACCACTGGGCAAGGTGCAAAGAGACGTGTGCTCACCATCACGGCATACACACGGACACTAAACATCCGACCAGCCGAAACCGGTGTGGCTCAGTGGTACAGAGCGTCGGCCTGCGGACCGAAGGGTCCCGGGTTCGATTCCGGTCAAGGGCATGGACCTTGGTTGCGGGCACATCCCCGGTGGGGGGTGTGCAAGAGGCAGCTGGTCAATGATTCTCTCTCATCGATGTTTCTAACTCTCTATCCCTCTCCCTTCCACTCTGTAAAAAATCAATAAAATATATTTTAAAAAAAACAAAAAAAACCCACTGGCCTCGATATAAACCCCGCACCTGCCCGTATCCATAAACTGCAATTAAAGTGCCCCCCGCGTCTATACCTTGAAGAACTGGAGCCTCTCCCGGTTCCTGCCGAATTCCACCTCCTGGCTCTTTAACACCGTCTCAGGCCTGCAGGGAGGGAGAGCGCGGCAGAGTGTGTGTAACGGGGAGAGCCGCCCCTCTCCCGGGTCTCCCGGTCTTCCCTCCGCCACCGAGGGGCAGCGTCCGGGAAACTCCAGGCCTTTCCCACAAGGCAGTGCGGCCCCTAGGCGACCCGCTAGGAAGCGCAAGGCGTGTAAGGCCACGCCACATGTGACCCCACTGCCCTTCCTGGGTGTCGCTGGGAGTCGTGGCAAAACTAGCGTAAAATCCCACATGACCTCGTTTATTTACGGATGATAAAGAACATTATAAACTGAAGAACCAAAAGATAGATAGAGAGACAGTAAAGCAACAAGCAGACTGTCAAATTACAGTGGGGAGGTTGGGGAGATCTGGGGGAGATGAGAGATCAACCGAAGGACTTGTATACATGCATATAATAATAAGTACAACCAATGGACACAAAACTCTGGGGAGGGAGGATATGTACGGGACGGGGGGCATTGGTATATGTACAAAAATAATAATAATAAAAATATTAAAAAAATAAAAATTAAAAAAATTAAAAAAAAAATTGTGTAAAATCAGGGGTAAGCGTGGCTGGTCTCTGACAGCAGAGGCGGCAGCAGCTCACACACCATCAGCGTGAGCGTGCCACCCGGGCCTCCTGGCAGGGCCGTGGCCAGCACCAGCTCCTCCTCTCACCGTGGCCCCGAGCCCGCCCCCCCCCCCCCTGCGGGCTGCAGGTGGGCGGACTCATTCCCTCCGGGCAGGACAGAGCCCGTCAGGGACTGCACTGCATCTAACAGACGTTTTAAAATCGTTACAGCCCAGCTGGTGATTAAGGCTTGATTGAATATCAATACACGTAAATCACACGTGCCCTCCAGGGCCCAGATGCTTATAGCTGTTCAATGGGCGAGGTTCTCAGTACAAAGACCCCGTTAATAATTCCCGGCTGAGCCGTCTCTCTCGGGAGACTTCCTAATCACTCCGGACCCAGCCCCCCAGGCCGGGGCAGAATCTGAAGGAAGCCCCCCAGATTACCCCAGCCGCAGCACCTGGGGCCTTAAAGGGCCATCCTCCGCGGGAGGCAGCGATCCGCACTCTGCCTGCGCCTGCAGTGAGGACATCCCTGACACACCGAGGCACACACAGCTACTGCTTTTTACACAGCCCGGACAACATGGAGCCCATCTTACTGCTTTATAACTTAGACTTAGAACTGAAGGGAAGAGTTACCCCACACTGGGTTTTTAGAAATAAAAAATGGACCACCTTGGCCCTTCCCACGCTGCCAGTTACAGAGACAATAAACCACCAGTGATGTTCGAGGCAATAGACGCTCCTTCCCAAGAATCTCTGTGTAAGAGGAGATGGTGATCTGAGAGTCCGCACACTGGGCAGCGGGAATGAGGAGCGAGGGCATAAGATGCCATAATGGAGGGCCAGGGCCCACAGGCCATAGTGAGCTCTTAGGAAGGAGGAACAGAGGTCCCTATAGCCTCCAGGTACCTCAATACAGCCAAAACTAAAGGAAAAAAAGAAAAAAAAAGAAAAGAAAATTTAACTCGCACCGTCCGGCCGTCCCGCATCTGGATCGGCTCAGTCAGTGATCACATGCAACGACACGGTGTAACGGAGGAGCCAACATAAAATCCCTCCTCGTAGGGAGCAAAGCCGGGACTATAAGTAAGTAGGGAATCCCCAGAAGGAAGATGAATACTGAGCATGTGCCTGGCACACACTCACTAAGATAACAGCTCTCCGTGTGAGACGCAGGACGCTGCTCTGCCCAGGAAGCCTAATGGTTCCCTCCTGGGGCAGAGCCGACCTAACGGTGTGCCCTGCTGGGACACAGGACATACGAGGCAGCAT